GTTTGTTGTTACGTTGTTCCTTTGCTCCGTGAATCGATGTTTCCTGTTTCTGATAAACCCTAAACCCTAAACCCTATACCCTAAACCCTAAACCCTATACCCTAAACCCTAAACCCTATAAACCCTCCGTCCTCCAGCTTCTCCAGCCGGGCGGCCGCCGTCTGGGCGCGCCTTTTCGCGTGAGAGGCGAGGGCCAGGGCGCCAAAGGGGCTGTTATGAGGCCTATAGGGTTTTAGGGTTTATAGGGTTTAGGGTTTAGGGTTTTAGGGTTTACAAGGTTTAGGTGTATATCACGGTGTTTATAGGGTTTAGGTGTATATAGTATAGCGATAGGGCGGCTTTTGAGTCTGAAGTTCGGGGTTCGGGTTCTGGTTCAAGGTGTTGGACTTTGTAGGGCTACCAGTTTGTAAGGCTACTTAGGAGTTTCAGAAAATTAGGGTACCTTACTTTGGGGTCCTTATAATAGGGATCCTATTAATTAGGGTACTATATTAGGGTCCCCTATTTTCGGAAACCCCCACTTGAGCAAGGCTGACAATAATCAGAAGGTTCATCATCATCGTAGGAATACTGACCCCGGAACCGCTAAATCGCTAAGTGCTGAACCGCTACACCACTGTCAGGTTCAGAGAAACCCTAAACCCTTACACTTACACCCTAAACCCTAAACCCTCCTAGACCCTAAACCCTAAACCTTAAACCCTAAATCCTGAAACCAAAAACCCTAAATCCTACACTGTATAATAACCGCTCCAAGGTGGAAGCGAAGATCTACAACTTTCTTTTCATTGTGAAGACTGTGCTTTGTCAGATTTCTGTTGCTGCTGGAATGCAGTCATGATTACAAGCAACAGAAAGGACATCATGATGAGGCATAATCCCAATAGTGGATCTCGTGACTCATCTCTCTTTCAGGAAAGCTGCTTTCAATCGCAGCGAAACCAAGACCACTGACAACGATTCTATCCCCATGACTCCGAGCTCTTGCTCCTCCTCAACCTGCGCCCTTGAAACCCTAAACCCTAAACCAAAACCTCTTAACCCTATTGGCGAGCCCTTAGGCCCTTAAGTAAGCCCTCCTCCTCAACGTAAACTCTGCAAAACTAATTCCCCAATCTTCTGCCCTAAACTCCATCTCCCCAAGCTTTTTCATGTTGCCCAAACCTCAAACACCCGAACTCTCAAACATCCTGAGTCAGTCCTGAGCCCTAGACACCCTAGACCCTAAAGATCATCAGATGATCAACCTACCAGAAGCACGAGCCGAGGCACCGAAGCAAAAGCCACAAGAACCTACAGCTCCAAACACACTCAGCGAACCAACAAGTGCAAAACACACACTCCATGAACGAATATATCTGACAAGTCTACCCTAACCCCCAGGTACCTACTATATAGGGTACTAGAGCCGGCCCTATATAGTTGGTACCTGGGGGTTTAGGGTCTACTGAACCTACCTCGCCTCTGCTCTACGTCCGGCCGCTTTCCGGCCCAGTCGGCAGTGGCCAAGGCCGCCGCCGTCCTCAGGAAGTTCTAACGGAGGGTTTAGGGTTTAGGGTTTAGGGTTTAGGGTTTAGGGTTTAGGGAGGGGGCAGGGTTTCGGAATCGACGGGTTGCGGAATTGGCGGAATCAGGCTTTGGGGTGGTGGGGGTCCAGTGCGGAGGGTCAGGGAGTGAGATTTGGGTTTAAGTTTGAGGGCTGTGGGCTTTAGGATTTCGGGTGGAGGCTCATAGGACTGAGATTTGAAGGCTTGCCACTACCGCTACGACTATCACGGCGGATGATACTAGATCGTGTTACCGCTACTACTGCGATGTCTACCAATTACGCTACTTATAGTACGTAGTCATGGCAATCATGGTCATGGAAGGCGAAAAACAACATTGATAGTAACTAACTTCGCCTGCACGTTAGTCAAACACCGCATCAGCACAACTCATATCATCATCATATCGACTTTTTCGACTTTCAAGGCAACGTATCCGAGTCGGATGCAGCCTATACAACATGCAGCAATTAAAGGGTGAAAGCAGAGGCAAACTCCTGGCATGCAACATTCCCCAACACAACATTGGCCGAGCCGTCCAGCGTGAAGGGGGCTGCAGCGCGAAGGGCCTGTACCGCCGGGCACTGCAGCTTACAAATGTGCAAAAGGCAAGGAGCACCTCTAGTCCAGAGGTACAGAGCACCTCGGACAAGGTCAGAGAACAGACGCAGCCGGGCAAGAGCAGGCTCAAGATTACGGAAGGAGGAGAGAGGCCATGGGTGCTCAAGTGAGCGAACAAGGCCAACACCCGACAACACAGTAACGAGAGACGTGAGCCCAGCAGGCCAGCTGGCAAAGTCAAGCAGCTCGGGCCTGGCGGATGCGGTGTCATGGGAGACAAACTCCCCTGTGCCAAGGTCATCCCTGGCAATGACCCTGCCAACATCGGTACCAGAAGGGGCTGTAGGCAGGATGAAACTGTCGAAGGACAGCCAAGGCAGGAGGGTAGCAGCATCACGGAAAGTAGCAACGTCATGAGGCACGGAGGCCGGCTCTGGAATAAGCCATTCGACCCATGCAACTTGTAGCAGCAACTTGGAGGCCCGGCAGTGCCACGCTACCCATTCAATAGGCCAATCATCATCCTTGTCAGTGGCCTGCTCAAGCCAGCCACACCATGCCTTAGCAGTGGCTCGTAACCTGGACGTTTGCAGGCATTGCGTGCGAAAGGCCTGCCTGTACCTTTCAACAACTTCAGCAAACGTGGCAACTGTCCCTGAATCATGGCAAAAATGTTCTTCAAGGCAGTTAAGGACGTGATCATCAGGCCGATCAGCCTCGAAGACAACATCCTCCTGGGCAACAGGTTTGCCGGGCCCCTGTGCCTGGACAACAGGAAGCTGTGAAATTTTCCTACTATTATAAACTCTGCTGCCAACCCCAGGAGTTGGCTTTGCCCATGCGCCTTCAGCAATCAAAGCCGCTTTGCACTTCTTGGAGTGGCGCAGATGGTTGCAGAGCTTCTGTGTGTCTGGGTAGTGTTTTAAGCAGGCTGGGCATTGCTGCCCATTCGCGAGGAGGCGTTCTTCCCGCCTACGGCCATGGACCTTGAACGCATGATGTGACCAGGCACGCAGGTCCTGAAAGACCTGCCCACAGCACGCACATAACTCTTGATGACTGTCTGTTCCACAGACGCCATCAGCAAGGAGCGCGCCAACTCCTCTTAGCTGTCTGAAGACGAGCCCATGGTATTGCTGCACTTCAGCCGTCCACGATAGTTCGATCGCAGCTGTCTGCTTGACGTGACGCACTATACTCTTCCACTGGCCCGGGCTGTGGCTGATGATGGCCACAGCGGTGTCCCAGTCTCCAATGTTATGTTCAACATGCCCAGACTTGAGGCGGAGTTGCCATGCCCAGCTGAGGTCCTCTTGGATTAGATCCAGCCAGGTCCTTTCAGCGTGCAGTAGTGCCCACATCTCGGGGCATGCCTTAAGGATTACAGTCTTGAAGTGCCTTAGCCTTTCAAGACGTATAAGCGAATCAGCAGGGAGGATCCTAGCATGGGCCAAGGCGTATAGCGCACTGATGTGCCGAGCAGCATGAAATGAGAACCTCGGCCTAAGCATTTGCCTTGCCATAGCTACAAGAACATGCTGTATGCGCTCCGAGACTCTGTCACGATATCTGGGCCACGCCCCGACCCCGTACAACAGAGAAGACTCAACAAGTGAGGCAAACAATACTGTCTTGTCGTGCGGTGCTACGATAGGTGACGCAAAGATTTGTCGGCGATGCTTGCGGAACGCCGTCCACGCTGCTCCAATTCTCGAGCGAAGCTCCTTGCTAGCACCGCCTCCTGCCTGGATAATCCCTCCGACGTGCTTGTATGTCGCGACCAAGCGCAGTCTGGCAGAGGGCCATATGCTAGAATGCAGAGGAACAGTAGGGTCGCTGTCCTTGAAGAGGGCAGCACTCAGCTTTTTGGAGCCTTTGCCAACAAGAGCGACAACACATTCAGTCTTGCCAGCATCAAGATTGGGAACAAGAGTTGCGCGGATGCACTCATCTATTGTGGCCGTGGCGATGACCTGGACTTTCCCGAGCAGGATGTCAGGCGTGTCGCCCTGGATGAGGAGCGCTAGGTCATCCATCCATGTCACGTCGATAGGAGCCTGAGAGCCACCGCTACACAACATGTCAACTGTGGCTGGACTCGCATGGAGCCAGGCCGGGCTCCAGGGCAATGCTACGGTTAGGCCTTCATCGGCGAACTTACTCCGAAGCTTAGTAAGGAGTTGACCAAATAAAAACGAGAACACCATGTCCGCAAGGTTGTCGCCTGGCCTAGTTCCGGCTTTGACTACGGCTGTCCCGTTGAGGGTGCCGTGGACGAACCACGTATCCTGGTTGGTCTCAGCAATCATCCTCGCCAGGCTTTCAGGGGCCCCGGCCTTGGCGATGAGGGACTGTTGTCCAACGTAGTCTTGGAGCTTTGGGGCGACATCAGGCGACAGTCCAAGCGTCGCGATGACATTCTGGATCGACTGGTGGTCAGGAACCCCACCGTGCACCAGCGCCCTTGCAACTCTGTGGAACGCTTCCTTGAGATCCAAGAACAAAAGTGCACAACTGGTCTTGTGCTGCCCACACAGGGATTGCCAAAGTCGTGCTGTCTGTAGCGCAAGAGTAACTGGAAATCCCCTGCGACCTCCGATCTGCAGAGGCACTGAAGCAGCGTCAAGATATGGGCTACACTGCCGTCGCAATGCGCCGTGGACGGCCTTACCTACGGCACTGCTGACAAGTATAGCCCTGAAGCTGCTGCATTCAAGAGGCGTAGACTTACGCTTCCAGATAGCGTGCAAATCCCCACCCTTCCATTGAAGGGGTTCCTCAAGCCGCAGAGCAAGTTTGAGAAAAATCTGATACAGAGATCTCGAGAGAGCTGCCGGAAAACAGTGCAGCAGATCAGAGGGGACGCAGTCACGCCCAGAGGCCTTGCCGCAAGATGAAGCCCGAAGGCTGTTCTCAATCTGTATGCGTGTGGCAAGCTCATCTCGCTGAATGTCAATTTCGGCTTCAGCCTGGGCACTCTGTCGATCAAAGCACTGTCGCGCTATGTCTAGGGGCGGGCAGGGACCCCCAGCCTCAATTGCACTAAAGTGCCTAATCCATCTAGCTTCAACCTCTGCATTGTCACTGGCGATTTCCCCATTCTCAAGTCTGATAGAGGGGATGGCCTGTGCGCCTTGTTGTTTACGCTTGGGCGGTCCTATGAGAGGGCGAAGCTTATCAACTGTTGACTTAACTGAGGAAGAGGCAGCGCTCTGGGCAACAGTTCGAAGGTACTTCTGTCTATCCTGAAGTAGGGCTCTACGCAGGGGCGCCTTGAGGTCCCGAAGCGCAGCGATATCGAGCTTAAGCTGAATTGCTCTACCGAAGACTTCGGCGAAGACAACCGCGAGGGCCCTTGACCAGCACTGGCCTTTCCTCCAAACGTTCCATGCAACAGCTTTGTCAGCACAAAGTATGCAGGCTGTGGCCCTATGAACACCGCGGCGTAGACTGACCCTCCGCTGCCTAAGCTGCCATGTGTGATCAGAAATGAACGGACGTCTGCAAGCAGCTTTCTGAAACGGGAAGGCAATCGCAAGGTTATCTGCAAGGTGTTTGGCAAAGGCATCATAGTGGGTGTGGGAATCAACACTCCACTGAACAGGAGGAATCGTGGCACAGACAGCGTACACCGTGTCTCTGGACTCCGGCAGGTGGAGCTTGGTGACGTTGATTTTGGGTGGTCGACGAGGCTTGCGGTCAGCTCCCTCTAGCAGGGTCTCTATACGCAGAGAAACAGCATAGTGGTCAACCCCGGTTTGCGCGAAGTCAACTTCATGCAGGACCCGAGACCCCTCTCCCCCAATTTGCCAGGAGTCTGGGATGAGTATGAAGTCTATGCGCGAGAGGGAGCCGTGTCCCGGCGAGGCCCAGGTATGGGATGGGCCAGAATGGCATGCAGCGTACGTCGACGGCACCCACAGCTGCTGATCCCGCAACATCTGAAAGAAAGCCTGTGGTGGATCTGGACCTTCTTCCCAGCAGAGATCGCCAACGCGGTTTTCCCACGGGTAGGTGAGTCTAAGGTTTAGGTCCCCAAGAATACAGACCGACAGGCCTCTGGCGTTCCTCGCCAAATCAGCAGCGAAGTTCCTCCACCAGGCATCCCTTTCTTTATCGGCAGTAGTGGGTGCATGGCACACAACTACAAGAAAACGAAGGGACCCACGGGTGAATTTAACAAAAAGGTGTCTAGGGGACCAACCCAGAACCTTAAAGTCCTCAGCTGCAAAGTAGAGAGGCTTACCTGCTTGCCAACCGAATGGGACTTGTCTGGAAGCCCAAAGTTCGACTCCCAGTCCACCTTGGCTATCTGAAGCGGAGATGTAGCGAAGGTGTGAATTGGAGGTCACAGTTTCGGTATTCCTGGCCCGGGTCTCCTGTAGCCCTGTGAGGCCGATGTGCTGCTCATCAAGCTGGGTACGTATGTGTGGGACACGGCCTTGTATGTTATTTGTGCGGTTTTCAGCGAGGGTCTGGACGTTGATAGTCGCAACACGCAAGCTCAAACGGACAGCGGCGTTCACAGCTCCAACAGCAGCAGTATCAGCCGGGCTCTGGCAAAGGCTAAGAAAACGTAAATGCGGCACAGGGCCAGCCTGATCTGCCCTGTTAGGATCTACCAGACTGGCACCTTTGACGAGAGGCCATTGGCCGGGGCATCTAGCAGTTTCATACAAGAGCCATAACCAATCAATGGAACCATCCTCAACCCATTTCAAGATGTCATGCAAAGGCTCTGGTATGTCAGTATCCGCAAGCCCAAAGTCCTTGGCCAAAACATCTACGCATTCATTGAAGGGGTTGCCCTGATGGGCGCGGACATGTCCATATGCATGGAAGCAGACATCCTTCGCAGCTTCGGCAGCTTGTGCTACAGCACGGCAAGCCCTGGCGGAGGCGGAGGTATCTGTGCCACCCCATTGCCCGCTTGTTTGCCGGGAGGCGACAAAGGAATCTGTCCAAACACGGACCGTCCCCTGACTCGTAGAGAGGATCCATACCACAGCCCAGAACAGTGCGCTCCTTTCGGCCTCAACAGCCGAGTGCGCGGCAGCCCCAAGGTGACCCCTCTCGGAGGCGAGCTTAACCGTGCCTCTAGCCCAGCCTATAAATCTAAACCCGGCTGACCATTGCTCAATGACACAAAAGGCCCAGGCACTGAGAGTGCCGTTGTACGAGCCGTCAGTAAAGACATGTGTGTAGAGGCGATCCCCTCCATCTTCACTATTGGCAATGAACAAGTCAAAGGCCTGGATGGTGGCTGGATGCAGGGCTACTTCGTCTGGGATTGCTCGGGTGAGATCCCACGGATGCTTCAGAAAGACAATGGCCTCATCAATGGTCTTGCCAATATGCAAGGAGGCATCACTGAGATTATGGCTGACATGAGAAGGGAGGGTAGCAGCGAGGCTACAATGACGGCCGCTGTGGTGATTGGGTCCATTATCTGAGCTAGGCGCGGCCTGTTCATTCCTATGACCGTCAGGTTGGTGTTCCTGAAGCACTTCGAGCAGAGTGCAAGCAAGGAAAAAGGCTCTACTACCGGGGGCCTTGGCACTTTGTTCAAGAAGAGTCTCGAGCGTAAAATCATTAGTAGGCCCATCCTCTGTGTCCTTCTGTGGGCCGTTACCAGAATCTCTTACCTCGGCAGCTTTATTGCTACGGCAGGGTGTGGCTATTCGTCGGGGAACCCCTACGATGGCGGCTGGCAGGTAGTGTGGGCCATGGCCCTGGACAGGCTTTCCGCAGCCATTGCTGGTAATTCCACTGTGCTCCTGACTATGAGGGATGCGCACTGGGCGGTTCTGGACGCTGACAGCACAAGTGGTGAGAGGGAGCACAGTGGCAAAAAGCAGGGCTGTGCATGGGCCAGGCCTGCAGTGGCCAAAGTGTACACAACATTGGCCCTTTCGGCGTCTCTGCTTCCTAGCACGGCCGACTAAGGAGGCCACACAGCAGACAAGACCCCCAAGGAGGACAAGTCCAAGTTGCCAGTCTTGCATGACAAATCGCGGCCCGCCGAGAAAGAGAAAGATCCCGTAGCTCAGGAGGACAGAGGTGAGGGGTCGGTTGCCCGGTACAACGGCACTTGTGTAAAAACCAACTTCCCACATGTCAACTCGACTGGGCATGGGCGGTGCTTTCCTCTTCAAGTCGAAGCAGCAAAGGCAGTGGCTGACGTAGACGACATCGTCAAAAGGGAGGCTGCAGACGTCCCTAATGCGCCTATATGCATGTCGCCGTGCATGAGTGTTTTGCGCATCAGCAGGAAACGTGCAAGCCTCTTCAAGGTCGCCCTGAAGGACATAATGAGCGATGACCCATTCCCCAGGACCTAGGGCAATGTGCCCGTTGAGTATGGGGGCCCCAAGTAGCTCAACAGTATACCCCGGAGGTGCAAAGGCTCCAAGTTCTTCACATAATAGCCTGGCATTGACCTGGCCGTGTTCGGCCCACGTGGTATGCCAGCCCTGAAGAAGGGGCCTGCAATCTACAAGTACAAGATGGGCCGGTACATGGCGTGGTCCTCCTGTCCTGCTGGCAGCACTGAAGACGGTACGACACGGCCATCCTCTGATTGCCGCATCCTCAACCCTCGGGCGTGAGGGCTCAACGGCTAAACTGTCGAGTGGGCACAACAGCGACAGCGCTAGGTCTTCACGATAAAAACGGGACCTGGCAGGAGAAATGCTGAACAAGCGGTGTCCAGCCTCAGTTGCTGCACAGTAGACATTATCTACAGGAACAACGATGAGAGGCTGTTCGTCCCTCCAGGCGAGGGGAAAATTGATAACAACCTCGATGTCAGTGTGTGGGCTGGGCCGAGATCCCTGGCGGACAACTGAGACACGGAGGCCTGGGACAAGTTGCACATCTTGGTCGCCACGGATTGGGTCTGGGTAGGACGG